TTCAAACTCTTTAATGAATTAGAAAGGGAAGCTGTATTCCCAAAGTCTTTCCTGGAAGCAAGCATTACCCTGATACCAAAACCAGAGAAGGACCCAACCAAAAAAGAGAAGTATAGACCAGACTCCCTAATGAACATAGACGCAAAAATCCTTAATAATATACTGGCAAACAGAAAGTAGCAAATCATCAAGAAGATTATACACCATGACCAGGTAGGTTTCATCCCAGGAATGCAGAGATGGTTCAACATATGCAAATCAACAAATGCAATACACCATATCAACAGAGCCAGAGACAAAAATGACATGATCATCTCAATAGATGCAGAAAAATCATCTGACAAAGTCCAACACCCATTCATGTTAAAAATCCTATAGAAAATTAGAATAGATGGTCTTTATCTCAAACTGATAAAAGCCATCTATGTTAAACCAACACCCAACATAATACTAAATGGTCAAAAATTGAAAGTTTTCACACTAAAATCAGGAAGAAGACAAGGATGTCCACTATCACCACTCCTGTTCAACATAGTTCTGGAAACATTAACCAGAGGAATCAGACAAGGGAAAGAAATAAAATGAATAATGATAGGAAAGGAAGAAGTTACATTATCATTATTTGCATATGACATGGTACTCTACATAGAAAACCCTAAAAACTCCACCAAAAGACTTCTAGATTTAATAACCAAATTCAGTAGTGTATCTGGATACAAAGTCAACAGTCAAAAGTCAATAGCATTCCTGTTTACAAATAACAAACTCACTGAGAGAGAAATTAGGGCAACAACATCTTTCACAGTAGCATCCAAAAAAAAAAAAATGAAATACTTAGGAATCAACCTAACAAAGGAAGTAAAAGATCTTTACATTGAAAATTACAGTACTCTGAAAAAGGAGATCAAAGAGGATATCCAAAAATAGAAAGCTATCCTTGCTTATGGGTAGGAAGAACCAACATAGTGAAAATGGCCATACTCCCAAAATTATTATACAGATTTAATGCAATCCTAATCAAAATACCATTAGCATGCTTCACAGAACTAGAAAACATTCCTAAAATTCATTTGGAACGAGAAGAGACTTAAAATAGCAAAAAGAATTCTGGGCAACAAAGGCAAGGCAGGGGGCATCACAATCCCTGACTTGAAATTATACTACATGGTACTGGCAAAAAACAGACCCAAGGATCAATGGAACAGACTGGAAGATGCAGAAACAGCCCCAAACACTCTCAGCCACCTTATCTTTGACA